ATTATTGCTCAGCCCCCACAATTATCATTTTCAGGTTAGCATGCCGGGCGGGACTCAAGAGGGGCTAGTGGTGGTCATATGCAGTTTATTTATTGCTTCCGCTATTGAACAATTTATTTTTCGAACCTATTACTGTCAGCTACGTTGTATACTGTTTGGATTCATGTTTCAGTTTTTCGATTCATTTATCAGACTAGTATCGATCGCTCTACTAGATCTTAATGAATTGAACATGTTTTATGTCGGGATCAGATATCCTAAAATGATTAAAAGCAGACATGATAGTAAAGCCAGATACATGTTTAGTAAGTACCCTCAAAGCATGTTTTAAAAAGTTAAATAATTTTCAGTAAAGTCAGATTTATTTTTAAAACTCTGATGATTTCAATGTATAAGTAGAGGGGGCTTACAATATGACAAGTCGAAACTTTAGCACGAGACCCAACCACTAAAGTTCAAACTAATTTAAATGAAGGAGGATAAATTCCTAAGCCCCATTCTAAAGTCAACCTTAGACTCATGCAGAGTCATACGCATAGTCACAAAAAGGCAAACATGCCTCATATAATGAGACTTATCTGAACTCATATATGGACTTATTAAACAGAACTTCTTAATTCACACATATGATTTCTATCATAATGGAACTGAATCGCATAGTCATATGAAACTGAAACTGAAACAGAAACATCTCATGTAACTTTTGTCTTACTGAACATGAATTACCACATAATACTTACTTTGCAGTTGGCGCGACACGACGAAGGCGGGTGGTCAAACCTTAAAACCTTTCGAAAATTTTCAAAAATTCTCTAACTTTAAAAAGCTTCTAAAAAAAATTTTCAAGTCTACAGAACCATAGACCCGCTCTGATACCATACTGTAACGCCCCGTTATTTAAAAGATAAAATACCGAATATTTTTCTAAAAACCAGAGTTTATTTTTCGCAAATCTTTTAAAAAAACGTTTGTGTAACGGGCATTACTTAATCTATCTCAATTTCGACTGACATTACAAAAGCTATTATTTCTATCAAGACATTCCGAACATAAATAAATATTTTAAAATAAACATGTTTCACTTAATCAATTTGTAATTCAAACGTTCAAAATTGAATACAAATTCCAATAGAGTTTACAGAAAATATAAATATAATTAAAGACGACCACGCCCGTCCTCTCGTGTCCGCCGCCAGCTCGATCAACCTGAAAAACAAAGGGGTGAGCACCGTCTCTCGGCTCAGTGGTAAAATCCATACTATGCA